GTGAATTTCTTTACCAAAAACAAAACACTTTTATATCAATTTTCTTCTCGTTCAGAAACTGAGCATCAACAATATGTCATTTTTGTTGGATTCATATTCTCTGAAAAACGTTTCTGAGCTCGAACTTTTCGAAGCAGCAAGACAATGGCTTCTATTTGATTCGGAAAGGTATATTTTGCTTCAATATAATTATCAAATGAAAAATTATAGAAAATAAATTCATACCTATATCTTAAGACTATATTTAAAAAAGATTTTGAATGCGGAAAAGTAAAATAATATGCTGATCAATTTTGAGTTTTTTTGAAAAATATTCCGAATTCAATTTCGATTTCTATGCCATAAAAGTACACAAAAACGATGAAAAACACATAATAATAAATTGAGCAAGTTTTCTAAATCCTCAAGTGGCATTCATAGTTGTTACAATGGATTGGATGCTTTGAAACATCACGGGGAAACCGAGATACGAGTATTTATTTTGCAGTATTTTGTTATTGTCTCATCACTAAATTTCTCATCTTTTTTTTGTTTTTGTTTATATAAGTTATAAGCTAGCTCTTATCCAGCGATATAAAACAATTTTGTTGTCAAAACAGGTACAAGAATGTACGTCAGCTGATGGAAAAGATTCACTTCCCATTGATTCCACCACGTGATCTGTTACGTTACGTAAATTTCGTTGACTTTATGCGTCTTGAATGTAACTATCTACTTCTGGAGGCATCAAACTATCACATGCTCCCACATTCCCAGCCGATACTCCAATCAGTCAGGACACAGGTATTATATTTTCACCTACATCTACATCACTTACATTTTCGTACCCCTATTCATTCAATACTATGGTATTCTATTAGTAATGTTGCTTTCATCATTAGGATGTTGGAAAACGTTAAGTTTATCTGATCTAGAAGAAACTTTCTGTTTCAAGGTGCGTTCAACCGACAAGAGGATGGTAATCGTTGGTGGGGTTGATCAACACGATAGAGTGTCCAATCAGCTTCTGGCAATCAATGATGACATGTCTAAATCTGAATTTCTGCCTCCGATGCATGAAGGATTGTGTAGCCACTGTGTCGCAGTCCTCAACAACTTTTTGTATGTCTTGGGAGGACAGAATCTGTTTGATGAAAGAGGAACAACTGCGGTAAACACGGTCATCAGATACGACCCTAGGTTTGTGAATCTATCTCTATTCTTCACTTGCAAAATGAAATATCGACTGGTTTCTTTTGATATTGTATTTTTGTGTATCAAGATGTAATTAGAAATCACATGCGTTAAATTAACTCCAAGCACAACTTACAATAGATGCGCAGTCATCAAATTCATGGAGGTGATTCAACTCTGCTGTAGTATCAACATACATTTGTGAACGAATGAATACCTTGTAATTTCAACTAAGATGCCAATTCAACCAACTTTTATAAATCAATGACTATCAATAAATATCCCGTCTCTTGACTTAACAAAACGGCAATATTTGAATGCTAGATGTATCTATTTGAAGAAATATTTTCCAATATCTTGCTTCATTCACTGTATATTACAACAACAGGTTTAACATTTGGATGAGAATTGCTGCTATGAATGACAAGCGTGCTGGATTCACAGTAAGCGTTGTAGAGAACCGTTTGTATGCTCTGGGCGGAGTGAATAGCAGTGGAAGACTGTCTTCTATGGAATGCTACTCCCTTGAAGATGATAGATGGAGATATGTTGCATCAGTACAAACTGGCTTATGCGATCACGCCCAAGCTGTTTACGGAAACTTGGTATACATCAGTGGTGGATTCAAAGAGGGAAGATTCAGCAATCAGTTGCTGGCATATAGTCCAAGGTAGAACATAAAATTCGACTTTTTACGCGCTCAAAATTACGACAATATTGTGCATATTTATGACAAAAAAATCAAAGCAGTAACCAATTTAATATAATTTAATAATCTATGCTAAATTTCCAAATATTTAATTCCAGGCACGATACTTGGCACGAAAGATCTTCAATGCATTATGCTAGAGGATGGCACGCTATGGTCAGTTATGGAGACAACATCCTGGTTACTGGAGGAAATAGCGGTCTCACTAAGAGAGTCGATATTCATGGTAAATAGAATATGATTGAACAATGAGTGCCAAATATAAATTCTAATCTCATACTCACAAAATGAAATACACATAGTAGCATAGTCAGTATTTGTGCTTATCCACTTTGTGTATCGTAAAAATTTATAGAATAATTCGTACTCAAAATTTCTATAATATTTACAGAAACTGAAATATATAGTGGAATGACAGACCAATGGACATTAGTGTCCCCGCTGCCGATGCCGCACAGTGAAGGTGGATGTGAGATATATGATGGAAAAATATATCTGGTAAGTCGTTATTCAAATTGTTTTCAGGTGGGAGTTAATATTCATAATTGTAATAGATTGCCATGCAAATGGACGATATGAAATAACCTCCACAAACACCGAAGTTCTGAAGTCCATATGCAGCAGAAAAAAAAACTAATTTTAATTACTGGCGTAAATATATCCTGCCTAGTACTTAACACCTCAAAGTTTGTAAGCGTGAAATATCATGTTCTATATTTATACCTCTCTAATTAAAACGAGTTTGAACTCAGAGACAGAGTTTCATTCAAATAGTCACTGAACTGTCGAGCATAACATTTATGTCACTTGGTACTTCAAATGATTTTTAAGCATTGCGGGGAGGCTATTATCTTTTTTGCTATTGCCTATATTAGTAAATCATTAATTTTATTTCTAAGGTTGGTGGTTACAGCTGGGCACATCAGAAATGTTTGAGTACAATTCAAAGTTACGATCCCGCAAAAGATACTTGGGAAAATGCTGGAAATCTTCCAATTGAGTTATCAGGCGTACGACTTACTCTTATTACCATCCCATATTCTGTATCGCCTCGTAATGGTCTTGTATCCGGAGGTCATGTCCCACTCTCCTGGCCACCCAAGCAAGTGCCTGGACGCTTCATGGAACAGGTAGGTAGTTTTATATTTTTTGAAACCTGATCACATTTTGTAGTTTGAAACAGATAATCCATCATGTCTAAAGCAAAAATAATCATCAACAGTAGGTTCGGTTAAATATGTATCTTGTTTGCTGAACATAAGTTTATTGTTAATCGTGACGTCCTAATGTATATCTAGGATCCTCGAATGATGATGGGAGGTATGGCAGGTATGCCGTTGATGGGCGCTATGATGAGTATGCCTGGAGGATTCCCAAGTACAGGTCAGATGTATCATCCTGGCACTCAACCAATGTCTGGTTTCCTGGACCCTACAACTCTACAAGATATGAGAGAGGCAATGGCTAATATAAAGTTGAGTGGAGATCCGAGGTATGTGTATTATTTGAAATATGACAATATTCCAAATATTTGTTCTAAAATCTTCTTATTTATTTCTTTTCTGTGTTCAGACTAAGCCAACCGCAGCCTATGAAACGAACAGAACCTTCTAGAATACGAAGCAACCCATCATCTCATAAAGATTTAGCTTCTGAACTAAGTTCGGATGACCGCGCTCGCAGTCAAGACGATTCTAATATATACAGGTAATAAAACTAAAATACTAGTATTACATTTTTCTATCTTTTACATTGTAACTTTATGTGCAAAGTGCATTTTTTTGCAGTCGGCCACGTAGTACCAGCATAGATGATACAATATCTCTGGGTTCGCGGAATATCTTGTTCGGTAAAAATGGACTCGAAAGCGGACCCTCAGAGGCACACACTGCAGTGTCAATGCCGCGTTCGACCGCCTCTAGTGGAAAGTCTGTCAAAAGTGCAAGCTTCAGAACTCCCGTAGAAGAGAAAAAGAAAACATCTGACGAGTCTTCCAGCTCAAGTGACGACGATGATGAAGATAAAGCAAATTCTTCCTTAAAAGTAATAAAGTCAAAAAATGAAGATAGTGAAGTGGATGAAAGTACCATTAGAGCATACAGAGGATGAAGATCGGCACAAGTGGAACAAACTGCAGAAGTTCACTGCAGTACTGTATATATACCGTCGGCGTCTAAACTTCTGGTAAACAACTCCGGATTAGACTGTATATTCATATTAATTGATTGCCACAGCTAGTTTGCGAAAATTTCTTTACAAAATATGAAGAATGTAAATTTTAATGAGGAATGTCTTTTGCCTAAATATTAGTATATATATTTATAACATTTAATCGAATTTTGTTGTACATTTTTGAAATAAGTTAGTTTCGTTACTTATAATCTTTGCGTTAATTTAGATAAAATTGATGATCAAGTAATTATTTTATTATGGTGAATTTAATAAAATAATCGCTCTTTATTGTCCTCCTACAAACCAACATATGAAAAATAGAGGAATATGATCCAAAATATACAAGACACCCAATGTCATTATTTATTAATTAATCTTTATCGTAAAATTTATTTGATTACCATAGAACTTGTGTATATTCCGTTTTTCAAACAATAATATGCTTGATAGAAGTTTCAATGACGTTGAGTGTTAACTGCAAAAATTGACAGAGGTTCATAATCGCATGTCATTGAACCAATGAAGACAATTTTTGTTATTCTTGTAAATTCATAAATATCATTGGAAAGTGTAATTAATAAAATTTAACACAAAATATTGCTTCGTCTTTATTGGGTATTATAATTGAATGCGATTTGTAATGATATTACCGGGGCATTTAGGCTAAGCTGAAGCAGAACTGAAACGTTACCTGCATAAATCGCAAATATACGTGGGATGTTTGCCTCGTAACTATTGTTAATATTATGTGTATATTTAAAAATATACTTTATTTTTGAGGTAAAACAGTTGCAATTGTCAGTCATTAATAAATATCAAATATTGACTATTGTTAATCTTTCATGTCATTTGAAGTCTCCGCGTGTCTGTCTAATATTGTCAAGTATAAAATAAAAATAAACCAGCTATACATCATACAGTACTAATAGTGAGTCATATTGACCGAAGAAAACACTAATTCAAATAGTCTATGAGTATTCATTTGAATATATGACTCAGCTAGATAAAGAATTGCTATTCCGCAAAGAAATTCAGAAATGCGAAATACTAATATCCTGTAATAAGATGGTTGTATGATGGTATTGCTTGGGAAATATACAATACGTTTGTTAGTTTGGCTTTACAACTTATAATAAAATAAAATGCAGAACATCATGCTAATTTAGAGTTTTGCTAGAAATTGAAGAGTAATGTAAGCTGAGTAATAAACGTAAGTGTAATAAATACTACTATTAAATTCAAAAAATTTCAGAATATATTTTACGAGAGTATTTAATTTATTTTGGACTCACTGGTTAAAAAATGGAAGAAGAAGATTCCAATATTTATGAATATGCAAATGGAACAAGCTCGTGTGGAGGACTTCCGAGACCTGAAAGAGAGGAAAACACATATGTGATTCCAATTCCTTCTCCTCACCCACCTCCAACGCTATCATCAGATGTGTACGAATCCAGTGAGCAAAACTTTATAAGTATATATATATAAATTAAGTACCAGTAAGCATACTTGCGGAAACATTACCACAAAACTCCCAAAGTGAAAAAATAGACGAAAATAGAATTATTGTTTCTGATTTTTCAATTCTCAGTTGCAACAACACAAAGTTTCCTTTGATTGATTGTAGTTGGTTGTAGACTATCACCTATTTCGCCATAATTTCCTAAGCGTTTGGATATTTCAGAATATTAATCAATGCCCATTTAGAAAGCATTGAAATATTGTGATTTTCCTATAGTGGATACTATCTTTCAATCATTTCTTCTGTGTGTGTGCGGTAATGTAACCATTAAAAACTCATTTTTATTTTTCAGTGATAGGCCAGTACCGACCATCTGACTCTAGCATTCAAACTTCTACAACTCGCAATTTTGAAAAATACAATGACTTGAATAAGAAAATGAAACGTATCATTGTATATTTTGTTTTTATAATATTCCTCTTCGCTGCATTTACCATCGTTGGATTTGCATTATTACAAGTACGTGTCAATATTCAATAAATAAATGATATGGCCGTACACCTGTAGCCAAATTCAGTCTGATAAATTTCAAACAAAGCAATTAAATCAATTTCGGCAATACTTTTGCCGCACACTAAATGATTTGAAATTTAACGTAAAACTAAAAAATCGTCTATGTTATTAAGATGAACTTCACTAGAAGTTTGCATCTGGATTTAACAGTGAATAAGAACACACTCCAGTTATTTACCTTCATATTATTTGACCGTTGTCAATATCGCATTGAATTCAACAGAGAGAGAAAGAGAGATTTCTTGTTTCGTCAATCAGAAAACAAGCGATGGTGCAATAAAATAAAATATGGGGCTCCCGAAGTATGCGAACCAAGATGGCGGACATCAGAATGTAATATGTGTACAAGGTTGGGGTTAGGCCATAATGTTAGGCATAAATACTACGGGAGGCTCTTGGCTAGTCTTCGAACTGATAATAGGACTAAAATAAGGAAAATTGGAAAAAAATTATCGCTTAACCCTAACCTGTTACCCATGTTACGTTCCGACGTCCGCCATCTTGGTTCGCATACTTCGGGAGCACCTAAAATATATACTAAATATGCAAGGTAATTCGGTATAGACTGGAGGGAGCAATACGACCATAAGGTCATCAAATTCAGCTTCTCCCAAGGCATATGTGCAATCTATATTTACCATAATGACATATACAATTTGCAAGGTATCACTATACTGTACTGTGTAATAAAATTATTGCGATCAAGCGATATAATAAGTTAGATTACTTTTAGATGAAGCATGACTGCTTATCTCGGGATCTGGAACAAACGTCACACGCTTTGAATGACTCAGTCAAAATTCAGAAGCAATTGCTAAGAGTCACAGGATGGTATCTTGCAACGAATCATAGAATTTACAAACTCTATAAAACAAACATGACGTATTTTGCCGCGGAAAAAATCTGTCAAAGTGAAAACTCCCTACTCGTCACATCGGGAATAAGAGATCCCGTAATAAGAAGGTGCCGTAGCTTATCATTATTTTTAAATGTGGCCAATTTTACAATACTTATATAATATACGAAAGGTTTCTACAAATATCTAGTATATTCAGTTGAGCTGCAAATTACGACATGAAAATATATTAATTTAATGCATTTATTGGTTTATTTTTTATTATTGTTCACAATTCACTATCTGAAGGGCATCGCCTACAGCGACCTACATTCACATTGTTAGTATTAAAATTCCACACATTAGGACTATAAATGGAGCAGTGCTGCCAACAATTAGATAAATTTTATAGTCTAATGATGCATATTCCTGACATAAAACAAATTTTTATTGCGAAATATTGAGGGAGAGTCAACTCGTGTTTGTTCAAAATTGAATTGAACAAGGCGACGGAAACATTAATCCGTCAGCGCAAAGTTTGAACAATGGAAATATTTTGACCTGCATAGCCTACCTAGTACCAGAAAGTGGCTCAATTTTTTTTTTCGTACAATGAATGTGTCAATGTACAATGTGGTCAAATGTAATAACGGCAATCGTATTTTCTTATTTTTTCAGCGAGTTAATAAAAAAGGTGGTACAACCCGGAGGCTATGATACATGGATCGGTGTCAATGACATTAAAAATGAAGGACATTGGGTATGGTTAGACAATGTGACGTCAAATTTGAATGACACTTATTGGATGGAAGGACGTCCAAATAATTATAACGGCAACGAGAACTGTGGTCATTTGTGGAAAACACACAATTATAAAGTCAATGATGCTAACTGCAAAGAATTTATGTATTTCATATGCGAAGCTTGAATAAAAACAATTATACTGATGGCACCTAACGAAACTCTATACCTCAGACATTTCGTCATGTTATCCATCTAATGTGTAATGAAATACCCTTGGAAATGACGAGCTGTTAGCTTTCCACTGAATATTTTATCGCTTATCGAGAAATGTTGTTTCCAGGAAATGGGTGGCTGGTACTGAAATGAACTATCGAACAGTCTCGAATTAAAGAAAACCAATTGTGTTGGATATAAAATATCATTTAATATGAATAGAATTATAGAAATTTAGAACAGTGATTGGTCATGACTTCCGGTCAGTGTTGTCAACTTGAGAAGGTCAAAAGAGGTTTTTTCAATACAGATAACCAGACAAATCGTAGAAGCTAAGAAATATTTTTGGTTAAGTATGTAATTGGGTTTGTTGTACTATTGCATTCTTCTATTTAATCCACTAAAAGTTTGAAAAATTAAATGTGATGGATCCAATAAATGCTACCATTAGTGTGACAAGTGTTGACATTCAGGTTTTGCCTATTTAGGAGGTCTTATTGACTCCAACTCTTTGTCTAGTACAGGGGTTCTCAAACTTTTGGCGTTGCGGAGCCCTTGAAAAGGTTGACTGTTATTCACGGAGCCCCATAATAAATGTTAAAATTGATACTTTCCGATTAATATTCCTGAGTAAGTTAAACGTACTTTTACTCAATTTAAATACTAAACACTTTTATTAGGGTCAATAGAAGTCATAAATAAATCTCGTGGGGAATTATGAGTTCAATGTGAAAAACATGTTACCATATTATAATCATCGGCGACGAAATGCTAAAAATAATAGTTGATAAAGAGATAAATCCGCAATTAAAATTTTTTGATTAAAAAGCGGCATTCTAAAATATTAGAACTAAAACTTAAAATGAAAGATAACACCATAAGTTTTGTTTCAGCAGACTCGCGTCAGAATAAAAACGCTGTTATAGACATCGTAAATCATAAATTTGGTGTTATGTTAGGTTTTCGGTTATTCATCGTAGTAACTGCGAAATTGAAACACAGTCAATTAATTATGCGCGCGGTGTACCATTTTTCCTTTCTGAAACTACCGACAGAGCCGCATGCACTAAAATAAATTTCAATCGTTCGTATTTTGCCAAGACCTTGTGATTTTTCAAACGGCGACATCTTGCTTATTAAAAATAATCTCGAGTGCGAAAGAACAAATCAAGTTTAACAAATCCCAAGATCACAAAAATACGACTCCAATTTATTTAGAGTTAGCAGTTTATCACGCAGTTTATATTATTTTAGAATAGTATTTTATCATTTTAGTAATCCTAATAGTAATTTCGAATCGAACGTGAGTAACGATGAGCACAATTAAATTATTACGACAAGACACTTTAGAATTTAGATGCTCGCATCGGTCATGAATTGAATATTTTACGCAACAGAAATCTCGTTATCCGTTTTTTTTTAATTGCCAAGAATGTTGCGCGTAAATTTCCGATTCCAATTTTGAACCTCCTCCCTCTTAAGAATCCTGGCTGCGCTCCTGCTTATAAAAATAATGTCATTTTTTAATTCCGCCCCTTTGCCATATTTCGAGGCTATATTGTTGTCAAATTTCATCAAAGCTGTTATTGCTTATAGGAACAGTTTTAAATTAGCCAAGTCAGTATTTTGAAAAGTAATCGAATAGCTCGCGGAGCCCCTGGATTACTCTCGCGGAGCCCTGGGGCTCCATACGGAGCACTTTGAGAACCTATGGTCTAGTAGACCATTTGAGACTAACATTCGTGATAAAGTAAAGCAAACAAATTTCAAGCCAAAATATTCATTCATTTTGTTTTTGTGAATATATAGACTCGAAAATTATATTTCATGAATTTACACAATTTCTATCAAAAAAATAGTTTAAAAAAATTTATTCCGTTTTTTTTTTAATTTTTGCAGGAGTTGTAGAACTATGTTGCATTTTTATTTAATTATATTATTACTTAATTGTTAACTTTTTTTTGCATTCGCTAACAATTCCTGTCATTTATTTTACAGTAATAAATCATTCAAACAGTATATATTTCACATTTCAGAAGTAAAACATATAATTAAAATCAAATATACGTTATGAAATTTCAAGAAAGGCAGTTTGTGCAGATTTTAAATTTGGTGAAGGCATACTAGGAATATTTGACGACTACCACCTTGCCACAAATTGGGGTAATTTTGCAATGTAAAAGCTTCAGCTACTAATTTGAAGGCGTTTAAAAGTACTAACCAGCGGGAGAGTTTATATTTAAAAATCGTAGGACGAAATTTTGTAATCATCAAATAACAAGATAAGATTATCGGCAATATTTAAAACGCCTAATTTAAAATTTGTTGACTACAAGTTAAAATATCAATAGACGTACATTTTTTTGTAATTGTGTGTAAATCATTATCAATCAAAAGTTAATTAAAAAAATAAAGATATTAAATATTTTTATCAGATTATGTTTTTCGTTGTCATCATCTCTGTCTTGTATAACTAACCCATACGTGGCCATATTGAATAGATGCAGAGGAAATTCAGTCAATTCTGTCAACTTGCAACCCCTTAATTCACATTATATAACAACATCAATAATGCAGGTGCTCTTGACTTAAATACAAATACAATACTGCCGTTGTAATTGCTACCTGGCGTGTCAGCAGCTTCACTTAG